CGGGGACCGGAGCGAGGCAGCCCCTGTCGCCGCCATGGAGGCGCTGGGACCCGGTGAGGAGCGCGCTCAGGCCGGGGCCGGACCCGGGGCTCGGGGGGAGTTAGGGGAGGGCGGACGGACCCGGCGGAAGGGACTGTCGCGGCCCCGCCGCCGCTCGCGCGGCCCCGGATGCGGGTTGCCAGGCCCCGGGAAGGAAGGGTCCCCCGTCCCTGGGGGGCGGGAACCGTGCCCGGGCTGAAGACTTGGGGTCTAAGCGGCGGAGGCTCTGGAGGTGAACCGAGTCTCCCGAGCCAGTGCAGACCTCAGGAGAGCCCTGTCCACGGTCGCCGCGGGGCTAGCCCGGGCCTCGACAGGGACCGTGGGTCTGGTGCAAGCGGAGACCTGGCCCAAACCTGGAAGGCCTCCCACCTTTACCAAGGTTGCTTGCTCTTGGTGTGGGGCCGAATCCCCTTTTTTCTTTGCACTGGCAGCTGGTTCCTCAGATGAGGGAGACCCACTCACCCCCAAGCCCCTGAAAGCCATTCTTTTTTCGAGGTCCTGAAGTTTGGTATCTGTCAGTTTGTCGGACCCAGAGTGCTGTGGACTCGACCTTGAATGACAGGAGAATCGTCAGCCAGGACTCCCCAACACAGAGATCAATGTCCTGCGTTCTCTCAATTGGGTTATGAGTGCTTGCGAGGAGCAAATGAGAAAGTATTTTTGAAGCTATGGGATTCGTTTCGGATATGGGTGGCCCCTGGTTATCTCCCTTTCTCCCCAACCCAAGGAAGCATTCCAAACTCTCATGAATGGTATGGGTGGCCCCTGGCTATCTCCCTTTCTGCTCCAACCCAAGGAAGCATTCCAAACTCTCATGAATGGTATGGGTGGCCCCTGGCTAGCTCCCTTTCTGCCCCAACCCAAGGAAGCATTCCAGACTCTCTTGAATGCTCTGCAATTAGAGCCTAGTGCTTCTGTCTCAAGCCCCAACAGGTTGCTAATGACTTGGCTAAGTAGGACAAGATTTAGGGGCAGTGATGGAATTAATTTTCATATTCAAACCTTGTCTATCTATATAGTGGACTTAGTTGTATGCTTTTTAAGTACATCGAAGATTAGGTTTATTATTTGAATTTGGAAACTCGGCAAGTTTGTTTACTTGAACATATTCACATAACCGAGTAATTAAATCCTATCTTCATTTGCTGCTTAAAGTTAAACAATTAAAGGTCCACACATTCAAATTTCATAGGCCTTTGAAAAATGAATTGGCTTAGCAGGCTATGGTGGCATATGCTTATAATCCTGACAGTTGGGAGGTGGAGGCAGGAAGATCAGGAGTTTAAGGTCAGCCTGGGCTACTTGAGACCCTGACTATAAACAAACAGATTTGAGCCTGCTGTGCTGTTGCATACTTATCTCAGCTTCCGGGAGGCTGGGGAAAGGAAGAGAAAGAGATGGAAGCAGCTTGGGCTACACTGGTTAGTTATATATTGGATAAACCTCAACATAGTATGCTAAGTTACTTCAGACCTGGTTCCCTAGGTAAAAGCATGCTTGTGGCTTTAGGACTATGTCAGAGTTCCATTCAAATCTAATATAGTAATTTCATACTTGTATAACTCCCTGCCTCCGCCATCACTTCCCCACCACTTAATTCTATTGAACTTCAGTTTTCTTTTCTATAAAACCAGGCTGCTATGTGCTGTAAGACTGAAGTGAGAATGAAACGCTGCATTTGTGAGACGTCTTCTTGTCAAGAGTAGTACAGATGTTCAACAAATGTTTCTTCTCTTCCCTCCCATGAGTAACTTGTAATTGAAGCAACTGTTGCAATTATTAGCTGTAACTATGTGTACAAACTGAGTTGCATGAAAAGAATCAGCATGGGGATGAAAGGAACTGCCCAGGAAACCAGCTGCCCACCCTCTTCGGTTTGATTTCTATTAGATTTTGCAGGTCAGAAGACTTAGCCGTTTTCTTAGAATTGCTTAATTTGTAGAGAATGAATATTCATTAACCCTATTTAAAAGACACCAATGATTAAGCTGAAATTTTACATAGGTCTTCTCTGTTGAGTAACTTTTCCTGTCTGCTATATAGCAGACTTGGTCTTGGTATCTGACTACCTTGGAAACCTAGTTAATAACAAATAGTAATTGCTTGTTGAACATGGAATGGGAACAAAGGGAGTCTTTGGGTCTTGTGAGGGTGTTGCTTCCAGGCTGTTTTAGAACTGGAGAAGCACTTTTTTACTTCCATGAGACCATGCCTAGATCTAGTGTGTTGGTTCTTTTTTTGGCTTCTTGAGACAGAGTTTCTCTGTATAAAAACTCTGGGTGTCCTGGAAATCACTCTGTAGGCCAGGCTGGCGGTGAACTCAGATTCCCCTTCCCCTGCCTCTGCCTTCGGAGTGTTGGGATTAAAGGTGTGTGTCGCTACCGCCGCCGCCGCCACCCGCTGTGTGTTGGAGCAGAAGCTCCAACAATCCCTGGGAAAAAAAATCAATCCCTGGAGGCCTCTTAGTCCTGCTTACCTCTGCCACTGCCCAGGTTCATCTTCTGTCTGTAACTTAGAAAATTAGATGACCTTTATCATTCATTTTGGTTCCAGTGATTATAACCTTAATTTTTGCATGGTTCTTTTTTATTTTGTAGTTGCTTGTTTATTTGTTTTTGCAGTGGTTGGGATGGAGCCCAGGGCTCCATGAATGACGGGCAACTGCCCTTCCATTTGAATTGCAGTTCCCCAGCCCTTTGTAGTGCTTTTATCATTTGTAAAATACTTATATGGGCTGGGGAAATGACTCAGTGGTTAAGAGTACTGGGTGCTGTTCCAGAGGGCCCGGATTCGATTCCCAGCAACCATATAGTGCTGGGAAACTGTAACTCCAGTCTTAGGGGATACAACACACTCTTCTGGCCTCTGTGGGCAGTGCATATATGTGGTACACATACATACATGCAGGAGAAACACCCACACAAAAAATAAATACTCACATCAAAATAAATAATTTTTTAAAAAGCAAATACTTTAATTATGAGTTCATTTGAGCAAGACCAGGTGGTTTATAATTGTAATCCCAGCACTTGGAAGGCTGAAGCAGGGGGATTACTGTGAGTCCAAAGTCTAGGCTACTGAGTAAGACCCTATCAAAACAAAAACAAACAAACAAAAAACCCCTCAAAACCCAACCAACCAACCGAACAGAGCCTATTAACTCATTTGGTCCTTTGGGAAGTAGACAAGGCAGACATCTATCCTCCTTTTACAGATGGAAAATCAAGGTTCAAAGAGCACAAATGACTTCCAGACTCAGAGTTCTGTGGGGGAAATGAGGACCAGAGTGGGATGTCTCATTCCTGCTCTGACAACCTCTTTCTTTAAGGGTGATCTCAACCGTTTTGGGTTAAATCATGAATGCTTTGTTTTTAGAAAAGTCCTTTTTTTGACTGTCAAAAAGTTGTAGGGATGTCACGAATATAAAACCAGAACATCTGTGGGCATATTAAATAACTATAACCTTTATGCAGCTATCATTATAATAGCTAACACTTATTGGATATATAACTGTTATAAGGCGCTATGGTAAGCCTTTTATAGACGTCATCTCCTGGAGTCCTCACTACAGCGTTACGAGATAGATGGGATTGCCACCTATCCCTGTTTTAGTAGAAGAGGAAGCTGAGATCTAGAGAAGCCAAGAGGCAGGCCCAATGCCATACAGTTAGGAAGTGGTTAAGACCAGAACCAAACCAGAACTCAGGTATTTTGGTTCCTGAGGCTTAGCCACCATGCTTTATTGTTATACTAAATAAATCTTGCCCAACTCAAAGAAACTGACTTTTGGAATGAAATATTTAGAATATAATTTCTTTCTTCTTTTTTTTGTTTTGTTTTGTTTTGTTTTTTCGAGACAGGGTTTCTCTGTAGCTTTGCACCTTTCCTAGAACTCGCTTTGTAGACCAGGCTGGCCTTGAACTCACAGAGATCCACCTGCCTCTGCCTCCTGAGTGCTGGGATTAAAGGCGTGAGCCACCACCACCTGGCTAGAATATAATCTCTAAATAGATCTAAGTTTATTAAAAGAAGTGGTCACTCACTTAACCTTTCTTTTGTCAAAAAAAAAAAAAAAAAGTGACACAGGGCTGATGGCTCAGTGGTGAAGAGCACTGACTACTCTTCCGGAGGACTGGGTTCAATCCCTAGCACCCACATGGGAGCTAACAATTATCTCTAACTCTAGTTCCAAGGGGACCCTGTGCCCCATGCTGCTGGCAAGACACCCATACATATAAAACAAAAATAAATCTCAAAGAACAGGAGGTTTTTGGACAGGGGCAAGCATGGCACTACCTGTGAGATACTCCATCCCCGGCGAACGTCTGTGTATCTTGGAGGAAGGCAGCCTCAGTAGCGGCGCCTACACCCTGCACGGCTACATCTTTTCCTTGCTGACTGAGGAAGACCAGGGAGAAGAGCTTCCTGTGATGTCTATGATGAGAGAAACAGTCCCAGTTACTTCCAGATGTGGGCGCTGTTGTCACCTAAATAGTCTCTAGCATCAACTCACATTTTGCCATACATAGTACACATCTTGTATGTGGGGGTCCACACCACTAAAAAATGCTTTTTGAGGAACTATCCCCAAGGAAGATGTCCGAGCAAAAGAAAAAGACAAGGCTGAAATTTCTGCCCGGGTGACATAGTTTTGGCCAAAGTTATCTCCCTCGGTGATGTACAGTCCAATTATCTACTGACTACTGCTGCTGGAAATGAGTTAGGGGTAGTGGTAGCCCACAGTGAATCAGGTATCCAGATGGTTCCCATCAGCTGGTGTGAGATGCAATGCCCTAAGACCCACACTAAAGAATTCCGGAAAGTGGCCAGAGTGAAGCCCTCATGAGTTCTTACAAACCCCAACCACACTTTACCCCAATGACAGAGTCAACTCTTTCCAAGAATATGAGTATGAAAGAACATCAAGATGCCATGGTCTTTATTAAGGTGCCTGCAGTCAGCTCACAACCACCTCTTGAAAATTCTGCCAGAAATACATTCATGTTGTAATGAGCACCCAAGGCCCATGCAGCCGAGACAGGAAGATTGTTAGTTCCCAAATTTGAGAACAGCATGGCCTAGTAAGACTCTTTCAACCAAAAACATAAAAAAGAAATTGGAACTGTAATCCATTTGAAACACTATTTTTTTTTTTTTCTAGACAGGGTTTCT